TGTAGAGTATATTCTTGATTACGGTATCATTAATTTTTATTGCTAATTGATTGGTTTCAAAAGAGAATTTGTCAATCAATTATAATTATTTATCCTATAAATTCATTTAAATTAAGACATTTAATACTGGGAATAGGGGGTGTAATTAAGATATATTATCAATTTATAATCCTGATAATTGAAATTAAAAGAGTGCTTTGTTATCTTTATTTATTAATTTGATAGCTTCAGTTTGATAAAATAAAAAATTATTAATTTCTATTGGATATGTTGAATGATTATTAATCAATGATAAATTTATTTGAGTAATCATAATATCAAATTTTAATTATAATGGTTCTCTTATTATCTTACCATAGATAAAGAAATCTAAAGTAATTATATTTCTATCATACTTCTTCACTTGAATCGAGAAATTGAACATGTCTAGTGAAACCATTCATTTCAATTTAATAAAAATCTTATCTGTATTATTTTGAATATGAGATCTAATAATAAAGTACTTAGGATCTGCTATTTTATCAAAATTCAATTGACATTCTATAGATCCTTAATCTAATGATTTTGGACAAATAAGAAGAGGTACCGTATTTTATTTAGTTGGTTCATTCCAAGCAAAATAGCAATCTTAATTATAATCTAATTTGCTGGAAGATCTAAAGAAGTGACTTGAATCTTTATACTTCGATTAGAAATTCTATAAGGTGTTTGTTTATGCTTAATTTCACGAATGACCACAAATAACATACTATTACTTGTATTAATATCAATTTAAGCAAATTTCTTAATTTCTGAAAATTTTTGACTTTTTAATTGCAAATAGGAGACACCTATTTTATTACATTCAAACTAACCGCTCCAAACCCAAACAATCTCCAATTTATATAAGATTTTGATATATCTATGGCTTCAAATTAGTGATAATATTATAAATATTAGCATTAACAATAAGATTTTAGTTCTTTTGATTTGGCAATAATATATCAAAAACACTTGTAAAATTATCAATACTATATTCAAGTTAAGATATATATTTCAATCCTATATTTGAAATTTAAATTTTTATGTTATTAGTTAGTTCACTAAACCTGGATAAAGTAACCAAAATTCTTAGGAGTTATTTAAAGGTATTTCAAAATAGAATTGATCCATTATTATATTGATTTATCTGTTTTTTTCAAATATTATTGAATTAGATAAAACTGATTAAGCATTTTATTTAATTCATGAATTCTATCATAAGCAATATTTTTAATCTAATTTGATTTCAAATCTACATCACTAAAATCATTTATTAATTAATTTATATCTGGAGGAAACCTCAATTTAGAGGATCTAGTTTCGAATTAAATCTATGTAGTTGTAGATTTTATCATGCTGAAATTCAATGAAAATATAGGTTTTAATTTATCATTGCTTGTATTAGTGAGGAATTATTAATCATTATATAGAACAATCATATTAATTAAAGATATATTCAACTTTATATCCTGATCTGATTTTAAGTCATATTTAAAATCTTAAAAAATTATTTTAATTTCATCCATTATTAATTATCTAGGTTTACTTAAAGTAATTGATCCTTTATGCATGTTACCATTCACTACAATTTATAATAATTTGTTTTAATTTAATAATTATGATTCATCTTATGAGAAATTCTATTATAAAAATTTATTCTTTAATTAAAAGGGTTGGTATCTCATTTTATTGTTTTTATTTGCCTTTTCCAAAGCAATTTGTTTTAAATCCTTAAGGTTATTTTTTCTTTAAAGCTTATTATCTCAATGCTTCATATTATTATTCCTTAATAACTACTAATACTATTTATTGGTTTATCTCTTCAATTTATGTTTTCTCAAAAATTTCATAAAGTTCTTACTTATAATCTTTATTTAATCCATCTTAATATTTTTTATCTAATTGGACTTATTGCAATAATTGTTTAATATGCTATTTATTATATTCATCTAATGGTTCGATCATTTACTATTATCTTTAAAAAGAGATCTTATTTGAAATTCTATCAATAAATTGTTCAACACCTTGTTCATAAACAGTAAGCAAAGTAAAATTTTGTAATACAAAGCCAAAAATTATATCTGTATCTTCCTCTCTAATATGTATATTTTAAATATTAATCTATAAATTTTTAATAACTTTAACAATGATTCACTACATCATACTATCTTATTATTCTTTATTAGATATTCTATCTATTAACTTTTATTTAAAACAATCAAGTTCTATTAATTTATCTGCCCCAATGATATCTCCAAATTTCCAATCACAAACTTCTTGAGGTTTGATAATTATATATAAAGTATCCAGATTTACTTTAATAGGAGAACTGGCTAAATTCTTTCAAGAAATGTTAAATTAAGTATTCCAATCTACTAAATTTAACAATAAAAGGGAGATCTCATTTTATAAAAGCATCTCGTTTCAATCTTAACTTATCCACTCCAAATTCCAGCTTATAATTATTATTAATCCAAATCATCAATGTATTCTCCTAAAAATTATTAAAGAAGATTTTCAATTAATTTCTAAAACATAAAATAATAATTATATAAATCATATATCTTCCCTAATTCTTTCAAATACAGGAAATCTTGGTTTTCCATCATCTGTTAATCCATAATAACTATAAGATACTCTAGAACCTATTTTTGGAGGATCTTTTCTTAATTTACTATTGAATCCAACTCCTATTTAAAATATTATTCCTGCATCTGTTTACACTTTTAATGCTCCCAATTAATCCTTAAATTTACCCATACCACTTATGTGATCAATTACTGTTGCCTCTGAGTCCATAGTTGTTTTAACTTTTAATAATGTATTTGATCTTTTTCCTTCATATAAAGATTATGGATCTCTCAACATTAATCCTTCTCCTCCTGCCTATTAAGCTAATATTAATTCTTCTTTTAAATGTTCATAACCTCTACATACAACATGTGGAACATAAACTAAATGAGGATTCTTTATTTTTTCAATAGCCTTCTTAAATTTAGCATATCTATTAACAAAAGGTTCATCTAACAAAGGTGCATCAAAAACCATAAATTTGATATCTTTCCAAGCTTTATAATCAGGTTATTTCTTTTTAGCTATGCTAACTAATTTTTAAAATTATCCTCTATCAAGCCATAATTCTCCATCTAAATAAGTAGTTGGCCATCCTTCAACAAATGATGTAGGAAAATTTAATGAATTACCATTTCTAGTAAACATTTCACATCCACTCCAAATTATACGCATACCATCTAATTTTTCAGATAATAAATAATTTGTTGGATTAATATTCTCATTCCATTATCCAGCCAATAAACAAGCAATAGGTTTTGTATCACCAGGAGGACCCAGATCTAATGTTTCTCCCAAATGAGTTCTGGCTCTATATTTTGGCCATTCTCCTACTAATTTTCCTGAAGTAGCATCATCTGTCAATGCTACAACTGGTTTCCTTTATTCTGGTAAATTCACCTTCTTTAAAATCTTTTATTGCATTAAATCTTTTTTAGAACTAACAATCATTTTTTCTTATTATTCATTTGCTTTCAATATATCATTACTATTGATCTCACGAAATCCCTTTGATAATTTTTACTAGATTTAATCACTCATCACTTCTATACCTCTTTCCATTGTTGGGAACTTAGTTAATGAGATTTCTATAGTCTCTTGTTATTCTATGTTACCATTCAATTATCCATTTCGAATTTGTATTGTTATTGGTTTTAATGATATAAATTAACAATGCCAAAATTGATCATTCTTTATTAAGTACATCTCAGGACTTTGTTATTTTTTCATTATTGTTATAAATTTCAACTATCTTTTTAACTTTTCTTTTACATTTAAAAATCATTTTAAAATTATTACGTAACATTTCTCAAATTAATATAATCCATTTTATTTATCAAATAATTAGATAATAACATAACAATATTATCAATCATCTTTCTCTTCATACACTACTGGTGTCATTGAAGATACTTTATTTTCTATTCTTTCAAATTTTCTTTATTTTGTAGAATCTTAAGAAGGACTCAAATTTTGTCCTTCCATTTCAATTGAATCATTATCTACCATCTCATTGTATTTTACAAAATGTTCATATTTTCTAAATTCTCTACACAATTAAAAGCTTAACATCATAAATCCAAGACCTAATATAAATGCAACCCCATAAAATAATATAATTTAATAATAACCTCCACCTTACTTAGGAGGTATGAAATTAATTGTATACATTTTTTATATTTAACAGAATTCCCCTTAAGTAACATTAAGATTGTCAGGACATTTTGTAGATTTTTATTTATAAACAAATTTTGTCTAATGACTTTCAGTATAGTTTGAAAAACATACAATTAAACTTGGAGACTAGTATTTGAATAAATATTTACTTCTCTAATAGAGGAATAAAAAAATCTATGTTTAGTAAATCCAAATATAATAGTCTTAGTATTATAATCAATATAATCTAATTATTATAGATTTGGTATAATTATAGAATTGGATGATTAATTATTAAAACTTTGAGGTAAGGAATGTCTTATTATTTAATGACCATTCTTGCCTAATATTATTACATAGTGATTCAAAATATCTACATCTTGCACATCTTTAAAAGTTTTATATTTATTTAATAATCTATATGTGTTGTTTGATAAATCTAATGTTAATTCATTGACAAATGAAAATGAAGGTTGATGTTCAATGATGATTAAAATAGATTATTTAATATCAAAGATATCACCAATCAATGGTATTGTTCCTAATTTAGTATTCATAGAGATTAAGGTTGTAACAGAATTATAGACAAATTATTATACACCTAATTTCTTATCTAAAATATAAATAGTATAGATTTGATCTTAGTTTTATAAGAATACTTTGATGTCCACAACATTATAAAATTGATGATTTGTTTAACCATTCAACATCCAAGAAATTGATTAAAAATTCTTCTCTTTAAATTAATACATAGAAATGCCTAAATTTCCCATTCCAATGAACATCATATCATTGACTGTTGTTATACTTGTAATTTAATCTACATTGAATTTATCATATAACTTTAGTTTTTATGAATCTTCAAAAACATCTGTTTTATTTGAGAGTTAGAATGCTAAAGTTTCTTAATCTGCAATTATCACTAATACTCTATTTTTACTTAGGTATTGTAAATATACCTTTTTAAATGTATTAATGTTAATCATTATTGAACTACCTAGAGTGATTGTATTAGTAATCAGTAAATGTTATAATTTACCTAATCGAGTTAAAACAATAGATCCATTATGAATTGTCACAGCTGCTATGACTTCATCGATTTCAGCATTTAAATGACCTTCTTCATAATGCTAAAAGAAGAAAGTTTCATTAAAAGATTCAACAATATCTACATTTAATCCTGTGCTTTGCACTAACTGTTGTTTGGTGAAATGGCAAGGTTAGAATGAATTATTTTCGTATTCGATCTCCTAATAAAAAATTTCACCATATTGTTCGAATCTGTCAATTACTTTTTCAGAATCAACCGAGATATTATATTCCTAACTTTGCACATATGTGAGTAATAAAAAAATCAGCATAATTAATTTATTATAATATATATATTGCACTCATCAAACTTACTATACTCTAGATATATTACTGATTATAGAAAACTATGAGGTATGTGTCCCAGTCTAATTAAATTTAATAATTTTAGTTGGACTTTCAAATGTTTATATTGTAATTTCATTTTATTTTTGACCATTCAAATCTAGGTTGTGTACAAATTAATTATACTTCTTGAATTCTTTGATGAGTAAAACAACCATTATAATAAATACTAATGCAACAAAGAATAAAGTTAAATAAATTTAAAAATTTTATTCTGTTGTAATTATAGGTTTGATTGATTAGATAATATATTCTTAATTATAAGTGCATATCCCATTCTCTTATTTCTTACATTCAGAAATGTGTGAATAATTTAATTTAATCTATTATTCATGTTCAAAGTAACAATACAAGTAACTCTACTTCAACTCTAATTTGGAAAAGTAGAAGTTGTGAAGACTAACACCCAACAGATACAAAGATCCTTGAGATTTTATATAATTCAATTTAAGTAATGAAGGCATAATAAAATGCTATTATTTTATTTGAAATGTTGATGGAATTGAATGAAATATGACTGTATTTCCATTTTGACCTAAAGTAATAGCAATATGATCTAAAATATCTATATCAACAATGAGTGAATTGATTATATGTTTATTTATCTATTTCCAACTAAAATCAGTATAATTTAATTAGATTTCTTAAATTATTGTTTATTAATCTTAATAACTAGCAATCATCATTATGTTATTATATATATCAATAATATCTCCAGAAAATGGTATAATACCAAGTCGCTCATTCTTATAAATTAATGTAGATTTTGGATTATATATAAATGGTGTGACTCCTAAATCATAATCAAGTAAATAGATAAAGTATACATCAAATTAATTAAATACTTTGAGATCAGTTGCATTATTAATTTAATACTCAAAATCTATTGAACTTAAAATTTAACCATTTAATTAAAATATTTTTAAGCCTCCTACACCCATTGCAATAAATAACATATTATTAACAACAGCTATACTCATAATTTTATTAGTATTGAAAGATTCATAAATTCTAAAAGATTTCGAAAATATCTTTTCAGCCTTTACATTTAATGTAATGCCTACTGTTTCCGAATACATGATTATAATTAATTAATTATTAATAGTCTCCATAAATACAGGATTTTAGAGGATGGTTAAATTTATGTTGAGATTAATTTTGTCTGATACAATAAAGGTTTCATTTAGGAATCGAATGTATATAAGTTCTGCTAAATTCGTTAAAATGACTACATCATTATCAATATTGACAAAAGAAATTATATGAGGTATTAATCCTAAAAAATGTCCATCATTAAAAAATTAAGAAAATTGCTCTACCAAATATTAAGGTATGATAGGTAATGATTACTATAACAAATTCTGATTGATTAGTTACTATGGTACAACCTAACAAGGAGAAGGAGTTAAATTTATTTCGGATGTTGATGTGAGATTTTGTTCTATGATAATCCCTGCTGTTTAATAATATTCTATGATTTGAGGGTATCCTATAAGTATTTCATATAATTAAATCGAGTTTGCGATAGAGAGAGTTAGAAAAATCAACATTTTAGTATAGTTATTTTTATATATATATAAATGGCAAATCCAATTTAAATACATATAAATCAAATAGTAAATATATTCATTAATTATTTTTGATTGAAAATATTATATTTTACCGATAGACTTTTTAATTAAAGTTTAATAAAGAGTAGCTCCAAGTGATTCACATCTGAATTTGATTCCTTAAGAATCTATTCCAAAAACACTACTAATTTACCCAATCCAAATCCAGAATGGATTGACAGGAATTAGGTTATTATGAAATCCTATAATTAAGTGTCTATTTTCTCTTTTTTATTATATAACTATTCAACCTTCTTGATAATTTCTAAAAATATTTACAAGAGCTGATTTGAAACTTTCTTTTGATCCTCAAGATTTCTTTCACTATATATATGTTTATTAATTTGATATTTCAAACTCTTTAATTAGAAATGCCATTATTTACTATAGATATCATTAGAATCAATAATATTCTTGATACAATTTAATTAATATAATAGCTTCTTTATTTGAATTAGATCATCAACTTATTCTTAAAATTGATCTTAATTAAGTAAATTCTCAATATTGTTATATTGTAATCTATCAAATTCATAGGCAATTTTTTTAATCCCTTTATATATCTAACATTAGATTCTTTAAGAGTCTTTTGGATTCATTAGAGTATTTTTCTCTTCTAATCTTTTTAAATTATTAGGAGAAAGTGGAATTTATCTTGTAATTTCATTAATTCTTGTTGTCTAAATCTTATTTTCTAATCCCAAATTATCTAACTAAGCCAAGCTCTATACTTTTATAGACAAAATGTCATCACATTCATCTGATAATTATGATTAATAAAATATTTCATTTTTTGTTAGAATATGCTAAATCTCTACTTTTTAAAAACCCTTTAAATATTTATAGATAGTTAGATCATTCTTTAAATAATCTATTGGAATTAAATCATGATAATCTTTCTAAAATATGAATTCAGGAAATTTGTAAATGAAAAATTTGACAATATAAATTTGTCTTGTAAGAACTGCCAAATGTAAACAATTTTATTTTTATCTTTATGTTTTCTATCTAAAATTGAATTTGTATTCTTTTTGTTTATAGATGTATTCAATCACTTAAATGTATCCTTTCGATACAGCTAAATGAATAGGAGTTTAACCATTATTATTAATATGATTACCATTCACTCCATTTTTTAATAGTAATTACATAATCTTTTGAGCTTCTACTTCATTCATTTAATAAACACAAAATAAGTAATGAATACTATTATTACCATATATATCCAATTCATGCAATCCTACATTACGCTTGATTAAATCAAACACTAAATAATATTATAATTTTGATACTGCAATATTCAAACAACTCCTAGCCCATGAACTATATATTAATTATAAACATACGCTCCTTTATTAGGGTCAGCATTTGCATATAATAAGTATCTTGCTGCTAAATATTTCTCTTCCCAAATTGACAATCCTAAAGGAGAGTAATCATCCTAATTAATTTCATCAATTTAGAATTTCTTAGGTTCTGACAATAATGTTCTCAGCATACCAATATCTTCATCTAAAATTGTCTAATGTATTTTATATTAAATTTAAATGTCTTTGTCTTGGTATTTTAAAGCAAATTATTTATATGCAATTGAGCTTAATAATTGCTTTGCAGATATAGATTCACCTGTACAACATAATTCAATTGTATGCAACAACTAATATATTAAATCTTAAGATTGAAATAACTCCTGAACTCCTGGATCTCCATACTTAAACCAATCTAATTAGAACACATTTAAAGTATCTACTTTAATTACTTTAATACATTTTAATTTTGTAATACTCCTTGGTATTTCCATATAGCTGTTATGTGAAATGAATAATTGATCAAGTGACAATAAATCCCCTATGTCATTAGATATCTTCTTAATATGATTTTGTGAAATATCTAGTTATTATAAAGGCTTGAATCTTCCAAATTAGAATTCTTATAATAGATTATTTCTGATGAACAATATTTCTAAATTCTTTAATCCATCCAATATATTGTAATCTAATTGTTTAATATAATTGTCATTCAGATTCAATGATATCAATTTTTTTAGTTTTTACATTCCTTCTGGCAATTAAGTAATTCTAGTCTATTGTAATGACAAATGTTTTAAGGACTCATCAAAATTTTGTTGATTATTTTAAAAAGCAAACCTAGGTACTTAACTTTTTTGGTTGATTTTGCTTCTAGTTACTTATAATTATAAGTCATATTCCTAATCCATTGATTTATTAATATATATTATATTATTCTAATCAAATATATACTCTATATATAATAATTCAGCTGGCAATTTTTGATCAATATTTATTGAATATTTACTTATTAGAATTCTAGACAAATTAATTTGCTATATAAGAAATAATTTGAATTTATAAAATCAAAATTACTCATTAAATGAAATAGTGGGAGAAGCAATAAAGTTAAAAACTCTATGAGAAAAGAATTCAACATGCAAAAGCACAAGTGCCTGTTTCAAATAAGAAAAAATCAACTAAAGTCAATGAATCAATGAACTCTATGAATTCATCTATTTCAGGATTCACACTCAAAGAAAAAGAGGACAAAGAATCTATACCTCTATACAAATTATTAAAATTGTATCAGTTGTAATAATATGCTCAATAACTAATAACAAGAGGATATGGATATGATTTAGTTAAATTTGCAATGCTTTCAGACAATTAAATTTAATCTCTCTTCACAGATATCAAAGTATTACCAGGTCATAAAGTCAAACTCTTAGATCTAATAGCATATATTAAAGAAATGATAACTCCTTTAAATTAATCTAAATTTCGAAACACTAGTTATACAAAAAAAAATAGTAAAATCATAACACAATAAAAACCTAAAACAAGTCAAACACAAAGAATAAGACCATAATAATATTAACAATAATAATTATAATAACAATAACAATAACAACAATAACAAATCTAAGCTATTAACAAATAAAAGCAAATGAAAATTACAAATATAGGTATTGATTTTTTTTAAGATGAGAGTGATTATGAAGATGAATTTAATTAAGCCTTGAATTAAATTATGGAAAAATATAAAGGAGATACAACTACAATTATTAATTCAAATAATCAAACTCTCTAAAATCAATATAGTAAACCAATATTAACAAAAACTAATAATTTTTTATAAACTACAACAGGACCTATTTTATCTGATAGTAGTAGAACTCATACAAAGCCAAAAGCTAAAGATGATATCATTTTAGTCAGCAAATTTCAAGATGATAAATTGATTACTGAAGTTAAGTAAAACAAGTAATATATAAACTTATTATTTTAGATTGATAAGGAATTTAGAAAAGCAATTAAATTAGAAAAAAAGAAAAAGAAATTTTGAAGAAGATGAAAATTTGCCAGATTTACAAATGTCCTAAATTAGACATATGTATTTATCTTATGATACTGGAAAATTGACTTCAACACTTGTGAATTTGGATATTGAGGAAATGAGTAATTGCTTGGCTTGGGCTATACTTAAACATATACAGTTTAGTAAAAGAATTAATTATTCTACAATGAAAAATTCAAGCATTCCTTTTTCTATGGATTTCAGATTTAGAGGAACTGGCATGAATTTATAAGATAATTCCCAAAATCCTATTGAAGAACCAACTCAATTACATCTCGATAGTGAATAATAATAGTAACAATAGATAGGATTATTCTAATCTTAATAAATAACTAAATTAGATAAAACAAATTTAAGTAACAAATAAAATAAGACCTTGGCCTAAATAAGTGAAAAAACCTTAAGCAAAGATGAAAATGATTTCGATGTTAAGAGGTAGGAAATATAAGAAATTTTGAAGGAAAGCTACCTTCATTAATAATAATTTGGAAATGAATAAAATGATGATTATTCACAAAATGAATAAGATTATGATGTTTGTTCAGAAGAAGAAGAAATTGAAAATGAAAATTAAATCATTGAAATGTAATAAAATGAGTCTGACTCCTTTAGTCCTATTAAACCTAAATATATATAGCCTTAGTAACAATAATTGGTTAAAGTAAATAATATTTCTGAAGAATCTTTATAACACATTGAGGACTCTTAAAAAATATACAATTATTCTTAAAGTATACCTTATTAAGATTAATAATCATTATTCTAATCTAAATTTGATTTCATTGAAATGGAAGATGATGACAAAGAGCTTAAGCACTAATACTAAAAAACTTATTTTGATGTTAATTCTGAGTAAGTTATACCAACAGCTGAAGTTGTAAGTAACTATTGTAAAAATATTATAATAACTTCAAAAATGGAAAAGGAAGTTACTATCCTTTGTCTAGTTTATATAGAAAGATTATTAACATTAGCTAATGTAAGTTTAGAACCACAAACCTGGAGAAGAGTAGTCTTAATATCATTAGTATTTATCTTAATTCTAACTCTAGATTATTGCATCTAAGATATGGGATGATGAATCCTTTGAAAATGACAATTTTGCTAAAGTATTTCCTCAATATCGAACAAAAGATATTAATGAGATGGAAAGAATATTTTTAATGCTATTGGATTATAGACTATAAGTTTATCCAGCTGAATATGCAAAATATTATTTTATTTTGAGAATGTATACAGAAAGCAAAAAAAGAAGTTTTCCTTTGAGACCATTAGATTTAAATACTATCATGAAACTCCAAAAATAATCCAATCAAGCAGAATATGGATTGAAATAAAAGTATGCATAGAGTTTAAATAAATCCTTTTGAATATAAAATAACTAATAGAATAATAAAATTGATATTATATTTTTGATCTCATTTTAAAGATTTAATGATTTGTTTTATTATAAGTTCCTTTAAAATTAATATTAAATGTAAAAAATTAAATAAAAATAGATTTTACAAAAATAATTAATGAAATGCTTTGAATTATATTTATGATAATCGATAAAATTAATTATCTATGTACATTGATATTTTATTGATAAATTATATTTGTATAAATAAAACTTTTAAAAACATCATTATTATTATTCTATCCTGTAAAGAAATATTATAAATTAAAAAAATTATATCATCTTTTCCTAAGTATTGTAATCTTATAATTATTCTTTCTATTGGCTTTCTCTAGCTTTAAAGGCACTTTTTGACATGGAGTAGAATAGAATTAATACCTTATTAGAAATTTTAATTCAAATAAAACTATAATTATTTACAAATATGGTAGCCATTTATTATATTTTGCTCTCTGATTTTATATCTATTGATCATTAATTTAGAAAAACATTTTCAGATTGTTGAAAAACAATAATGTATATCAATTCATTCATAAAATGGAGGAATAGCATTTCCGCAAGTAGGACAAAATAATTTTATTTCCATCCTACTTTATAAACATGAAGGATGAAATATATGTCCACAGGGTGTAATCATTAGTTTTCTACTAAATTAAAGTCTGTCTAAATCTTATTCCTATTAATCAGGCTCAATCATTAAATGTAACAAACATATTGTGCAAGCTTCTTCAAGTTGTTATGGTCTATAATCTTAATAATAATTGTATTATTTTGGTAATAAACATCTTGGTATAATTTTACGAGGACCCTTTTTATATTGGATATACAATATAAAAATTTAAACCAAGTAGATTAAAACCCAGCAAATACAAAATTCAAGTTATAGTTTTGATGTTCCAAAATTAAAGGTAAATCCTTTGAAATATACCTTATACTATTATATTAATATACAGGAGCAGCAATATTGATAGATAACAATCCAAATATATATTCTGGTATGAATTTTGGATTAGTTCCTAATCTAATATTGTGTATAATTTAAGGAGTCATAAAGAATCCTATCATCAATAAAAATGAATTCTACTATTTATATTTTTATAATAAATCAAACAAATTATAGAATGAAATACCTATTGAATAATAATAATAAATTCTTACAATATATAAGAACATATTTAATGAAAAATTTTATTAAACTTAAGTTTTAAGATTAAACTCTTTTTCTAGAAATGACCCAAAATAATGATACATTAATGCTGAAAATAAGGCAAAAAAAGAAAAATGCAAGTAAAATAACATATTCGAAATACTAATATGATGTAATTATAAATTTATACGTCTCCTGTATATGGTAAACGAATATTTTCAAATGCTATGAATGAATTAAAAATTGACACAAAACCTAAACAGAGAATAGAAATCTAAATAAAATAATTAGATTTACTCTTTAAGCAATAGAATTTTCATAATCTCTTTCAACTCTTTTAATCAATTTTTTTACACAGCAAAATCATATAAGAGATAATACATTTAAAAAAGTACTCTAAAGCAATATTTATTCTTAAATGCTTGATAAATAATTCTAATATTCTGAGTTTATTTAAATTTCGCATTTTTTATCATAACTTTTCTCATTTTATAATTTGAGTGTAAAGTCTATTTTCTTTTAGTCTGCTTCATCTAATATTTATTCAAATGCTATATTACATTAATGATAATTTAATTATATAGTATATTCAACCTCACAAGAGATCTTAGATAGCCCTACTTTATTTTTATAAAATTAATCGTACACAAAATTTGTTTTTCCATGCCATGACCTAAAATATTGTATTAAAACATTACAATGTTTTTTCGTTTAAATCAGTAATTTTAAATTATCCGATGATTTATTTTTCATCAAAGTAACTAGAATCAAGAAAATATATCAAAATGAAACTTATTTTATTTGTGAATGGCCCTAAGTATAAAAGTCAGTTTTAAATTATAAAAATGTTTCCCCTTTTTTCTATTCTAAATAATTAAATGGCTATATTATAGAAGTAATTTTAAACATTGTTTGTTAATGATTCCCATTTTCCATAATATCTATTAATCAACAATAGTTCATTAATTTTATTGATGTTATAACCCACTGCATCCATTAATTATATCATCATTAAGAATATGTAAAACATTTTCTAATTATTAAATTATATAATTTTATTTAATTTTTTGAATATTATATTAATAAAGGAGTATTTTTATAGAAATACTTTATAAACATATTCAATTATTATTAAAATCCATTAAAATAAATATATTAGCCATCACATCATTAATTAAAAATGACTTTTTAATTATAATTGAGATAATATCAAATTAAATTTATTTGAAAATTTTACAAACTTCTTTTTTAATAAGGGTTTACAATATTCATTTTACGATTAATACTATCAATCTCATAAATCTTTTTTTTTCAACATCTCAAAATTATTTTTAATAATGATTGGTAATATTAGCTCCACTTAAAATTGAAGATATTTAAGACATATAACAATATTTCTAATAATAAGGCATTTGGTTTTGATGAAATTTTAGTTATTTTCCTGAAATCAACCAAAAATTACAGCTTATTAAGTGACTTCTAGTAAAACTCAGCTTTAGAATCTAATCCTTTATGCTGTTAGGCTAGACTAATTTATTAAATACATTTTCCTCACATAATTTAGACCCATCACTGTATTGAACTCTTTATTCAAATTTTTAAAATTATGTTAACTCCCTCATATTTAGAATTACATGGTATTGAAATTATAAAAATAATAAACCTGACTAAATTCTTCAAATTAAATCCTCATTACTAATATCTTAATATATTTTTCTAATGTGCTAATTGTACCTTACTTTTCTAAATTTTGTTTTCGCAAGATCTTAAAATTTTATTTTTAAAGTATACAATAAGGATCCTTCAACAAATTAAACCTTTTATTTTGATAATGGAGTGCCTTAAGGCTATCCTCTCTCCACTGCTTTATTTAAAATGTATTTAGAAGATCTTTAGATAAGGTATTTATTGATTTTACTCAATATTACTAAAGTTTTTAATTTTGCTGATTACATAGCCCCAGTTATTAAACATAAGGATAGTTTTTGAGTACTTACTATTCTTGAAAATACTCTATTTATTACAATCTAAAAATTAAAAGATGAAAGTGTGGAATATTTTTGCTTCACAATCATACAAAGATCAAATGAGATTATGAACTATCCTGTAATTTAAGAACAAAGATACTGAGATTTATTAGTAGGCAACAATGGAGAAAATAAAATAGCATTATCTTAAATTAAACTCTTGTTAATTATATTAACTTGAAGATGAAATGGATATCTCATCAAATTTCTTGGAAATTAAAGTGCCATCTAAGGTATACTTATATTGCTCTTATATTTTATATTCTTCAAGTGAATTACTTTTCTAAAAATATAAAAATATCTTTAAGGAAATAACAAAATATGCAAAAGTAGTGTTTACAATTTTGTAGGTTTACGAAAAAAAAAGACTTCCAAACCAAATAGCTTATTTGTTAATACCCAATCTTTAGTTTTTAATTATGAGAGCTCCATAATAAAAATTTGAAAATGCATTAAGATAAATTACTAATTTACCACCAAGGAGTATGATTGAAATTTGAAAAAAAGGGTTTGATTAAATCAAATTGATTGTCTTCCTAATAATTTGACATAATTATTCAAATTATATACATAAATTTTTGAATAGCGCAATTTTAACTTACCCTTTCATCATATAATGAATTACAATCCAAATTATCTTAGTCAGTACTACTAATTCAATTAAAAGATAAAAAAAGTTAAAAAAGAGGTTAGAGAAATTTATTACTAAGATTTAACAATAATAATAATTTGTTTTAGTGATGAATAATTTTTTTGCATATAAATCACTTGAAATGAAATAAAAAGAAAAAGAGTTTCATGCATTTTCTCTACAGCTTATCGTCCAGAATTTAACTTTTTTGAACATGTTTTGACTGGATAAAAAATAAATTAGTAATATTGTAACCTTCTAAAACTTCTTAATATGTCTATTAGATCCCCTGAATCATTAATGAAATCAATGATTAATTGTTTGAAGTATGGTGTAGTAGCATATTTAAACCAAAACTTAAAGAACTCTAATTTATAGAGTGAAAAAAGTATGTGCTTTAAAGCAAAATCAAAGACAATATAATTATTAACATGTTTAAAATTAAAATATTTTTATCGATTTAATAGAACAAATTCTTTTCAGATTGATTTAATTTGTAAAAGATGTAATTATAATAAAATTACTAGAAGTGAAATAAATTATTCTTGTCACACTATTTTTCATGCAGACAAGAAACCTTAGCAGAATTATTCCAAATGGAGTTTATGTTAATATGCTATCATAAACAAAGTTGATTTTGAATTTCAGATTTATTATGAAAAGAATGAAAAAATCATCAAATATTTATGTGATTAAATTTTGAATCAAGCCGATATCACAACAAGCAGCAAATTAATCTAGATTAAAGTGTAAATGCTGGCTATCAAAAAAAATAGGAAAATTAGATCTAAATTATTTTATAAACAATTAAGGTTAGCATACAAATCGCTATTAATATAAGAAAATAATGATCATTCACTTTATGATGAATGTTTAAAAAATATTCAGTATCATGATCTTCGATATACAAAGTTGTGTAAGATGTATTAGTCAGAGGTGAAAAAGAAAATAATTTATTAATTTGTAAAACACTATGAAATCTATTTCATTTTCATAATACATTATTTATACTTAATAAATTGTAAATGATAATTAATTATTTAAAAACAATCAAAAAAATTATGGAAATGTGGTTAATCTTTAAGTATTGTTATTGATTCTACAATCAATCAGTATTTTGTTTCGTTTTATAATATTATAAATTATTAAATAAATAATGATAATTGAAAAAAAAACTCATTCAGACTAAGTGTTTATAAATTATTTATTTATTATGATATCAATAATAACCAAAATATTGATTGTGTATTTCTTTTTTATAGGGTTTTGTTAAGATATATGCAATCAATATTTATCTTATTCATAATGTATCGGTAGTATTTAGAGTCAATGCAAGTGGGATGAAGCAAGAAATAATTGTCATTATACAAATGATTATATGCAAGGATGCAGTAAGTTTTTGAATGTTATGGCCTGTTAAAAATAATTAGGAACTCCTTTAGGATAGTTTGCAAATTGTATGATATAAGATTGAATTAGGTCGATTTATATAATTCTGTGAAAATATACCTGATGTATAAACTGAAAAATGTTATAATAATTTATCAAAATATGGATGTTTAATTGTTCAAAATCCAATATAGATATGCATTTGGAAAAATAAATAGTGTTATTTATTAGAGACATAATAGTAATTAAGGTTAATTTAAGATGATTTTGAATAGATGATGTATAGTGCTTCTGCCTGCTCTCTAATAGAACATTATTTAGTAATACATAGTAGTTTATTGTGGAATCTAATATCCTATGTTCCAGATTTGAAATTAGAGGCTTTTGAATAATAATAAAGAGATTTGAATATTGAAGTTACTGACAAAATATATTATGATGATCCAAATCTAGTTTAAATGTAGAATAATTATTTAATGAAAAATGGAAATTATGCTTGGTATAAATTAGGATTATCATTGTAATATATAAAAACAAATTGTAAAAAATTTATTTATTTTATAAGTATAAATATCAAATAGATTTAGAGAAGGTTGTATTGCATTAGAAATATTAGATGATAATGATTTTTTATAAATTTTTAGTTTATAAAATGAAATAAAAGGAGTAAATCACATTTATTGCAAATATTTAAATTAAAATCCCATGATAATAGAAAGATATATATTCATAGATAATAAATGTGTAATATTTAATACAAATGAATTATTAAAATAAGAAATAACAGAATAGTATAAGATAAATTGTAAATAATTAGATAAATATTAATGTATATTCTTTAATTCAAAAGAATAAAATTGTAAAATTGAAGATGACTTTAAAGAATATTAATGCATTGAGGATTACAATCAATATGAAACTGATTGTATTAAAGGGTTTTGTACAATTAAGTAATGTCAAAAATTAGATAATCATTATATTGATTTAAAGACTAATATGTGTGTTAATACTTGTACTACGATATCAAATATGATAGAATGTTTAAATTAAGATTGCAAATATTTAGGTGTTAAGAGCATAGAATAGTAAATAATTTGTGCACCTCCAAATATATGCAATTAAATAGGTTTAACAAAATCTAATTGTTTATTATTAAAAGCAAAATGTAATTGGGATAATAATAAAAATAAATGCTATGAATTGAAAGATAATGAAATTTCATTAATGAAATGTAAAGATGCATTAAGTATACATGTTTGTACTTTCATACTATTAAGTGATTAAATGTGTTATTGGTCTAAAACTATAATGAAATGTATCAACATACTTGATTAACCTCTTTTAATGGCACATAAAATTTTTATAGACAGAGACTTAAATGAAAATGATGAATAATAAGTAAGTTTAGTTTGCAATATGAATCTTTGTAAATATAATTCTTTAATTGCAACTGAGTTTGATGAAGGGAAAAGAATATGCTTATTCGATTAATTCAAATTTAGTAATAACTTACATTTAATCAACAAATATCATTGTCTGAATAATTTGAAAGGTTATTATTAATGGAATTAGTAAATGCAAATTTGCGAAAAATATGAATAATCCTAAATTCTAAATAAATAATGTTTGGAATTGGTTGATGTAAATGAACGATTCTGTCAATATGGGAAATTATCATCAAAATCTTTTTTATGTATTTATGATTAAATCACTACTTCTTGTATTGAAAAAACTGAAGATGAAGTAAATGAATTAGGATGTTTTGGGAATGGATTATCAGAGGAGAAATGTTTAAATAAAAATGTTGATGGACAATTTTGTACTTATTCAGATGGATTATGTATTGAAATATCTATAATTACTATAAATCATCAACAGTGTTCATCTATTCTTAATGTTAATTAATAAGTTTGTAGAATGTATTTTGTTAATTAAATATTATGTAAATAT